ATACAAATTTGACTAGGTTTAATAGACACGATGATGGATGAACCATACAAATTTGACAAGGTTTAATAGAGACAATGATGGATGAACCATACAAATTTGACTAGGTTTAATAGAGACAATGATGGATACACCTTACAAATTTGACTAGGTTTAATAGACACGATGATGGATGAACCATACAAATTTGACTAGGTTTAATAGACACAGTGATGGATGAACCATACAAATTTGACTAGGTTTAAAAGAGACAATGATGGATGAACCTTACAAATTTGACTAGGTTTAATAGACACGATGATGGATGAACCATACAAATTTGACTAGGTTTAATAGACACAGTGATGGATGAACCATACAAATTTGACTAGGTTTAAAAGAGACAATGATGGATGAACCATACAAATTTGACAAGGTTTAATAGAGACAATGATGGATGAACCATACAAATTTGACAAGGTTTAATAGAGACAATGATGGATGAACCTTACAAATTTGACTAGGTTTAATAGACACGATGATGGATGAACCATACAAATTTGACTAGGTTTAATAGACACAGTGATGGATGAACCATACAAATTTGACTAGGTTTAAAAGAGACAATGATGGATGAACCATACAAATTTGACTAGGTTTAATAGAGACAATGATGGATGAACCATACAATTTTGACTAGGTTTAATAGACATGATGATGGATGAACCATACAAATTTGACAAGGTTTAATAGAGACAATGATGGATAAACCATACAAATTTGTCTAGGTTTAATAGACACAAGGATGGATGAAACATACAAATTTGACTAGGTTTTATAGACACAAGGATGGATGAACCATACAAATTTGACTAGGTTTTATAGACACAAAGATGGATGAACCATACAAATTTGACAAGGTTTAATAAAGAAAATGATGGATGAACCATACAAATTTGACTTGGTTTTATAGAGACAATGATGGATGAACCATACAAATTTGACTAGATTTATAGAGATAATGATGGATGAAACATACAAATTTTACTAGGTTTTTTAAATAGGTACAATGGTGAATGAGCCATACAAATTTAAATTTTGGTCCCTTAACAAAATCCCTTAAGCAAAATTCAAAAACCTAATTGTACATCTGACCACGGACTGAAGGTAACGACTAATGATAAATATAATATAAAACAATAAAAGTCTAAACTGAAGAAGAGCTCTGGAAGGAAGATCCATATTACCAGTCGTTTGTGCCAGTTTTACATTTTCAATACATAAAACAAAACCTTAATTCATTATTCATTACAAAGCTTACGGCACATCAAATATGGTTAGGAACAATGATGTTAACTATTAAAAATCTGCATCAAGAAAGACTTTTCAAGAATATGTCCACAATACTAAGTTTCCATTACTGGTCTAAAATATGACTTGTATATAAAATTCAGAATACCAAATCCTCATTGCTGATCTACACATACATCATGTACATGCCATAGTAATAAACAATATACTATAATATGTATAAATGTACATAATAAAATACCTGCAACAAGAAATGCTCTGGTAAAAAAGTACATATTGACAAAAAAAACAAAAGGATCAACAGATTGTCAAATTAAGAACATACAGGATTTTTATGAGTGCTGCCAACAGAGAAATGTCAAATGAAAGAGAGAGGAGGTCTGGAGACAAGGTCAACATGACAAATTATACACTGTTGGACTTCTAAAGCAAAAATAATAAATGGAGAATGTGTCCCCATGGACACAGATGATGCCCCCGCCTGCATACAACATTATAAAGGGACATAACCCAAGAACGATAAAAGTGAGTCTACCCAAATTTGTACTTGATCTGAGTTTTAAGGTAATAAGTATTGTGTATAGGTTTCATAATGTTTGGTTGGGGCAAACTTAAGTTACAGAACAGAAACTAAAATTTTTGCAATTTTTCGATTTATAAAGGGGCATAGCTCAATAATGATAAAAGTGACCCTACCAAAATTCAACTTGATCTGTGTTTTGTGGTAAAAAGCATTGTGTATAAGTTTCATAACATTTGGTTGATGCATTTTAAGTTAGAGAACGGAAACTTAATATTTTGCATTTTTTTCCATTTATAAAGGGGCATTACTCTAGAACAGTTAGAGTGACCCTACCAAAATTTCAAACTTGAACTGTATTTGGTGGTAATAAGCATTGTGTATATGTTTCATAACATTTGGTTGAGGCAAACTTAAGTTAGAGAACGGAAACTAAAAATGTTGCAATTTTTCCATTTATAAAGGGGCATAACTCTAGAATGGTTAAAGTGACGCTACCAAAATTCAAACTTGATCTGTGTTTTGTGATAATTATCATTGTGTATGTTTCATAACATTTGGTTGAGGCAAACTCAAGTTAGAGAAAGGAAACCAATTTTGGGACGTACAGACGTACATACAGAGGGACAAGGGTAAAACTTAATGCCCCCTCTGCTACGGCAGGGGCATAAAAATTCTAAAACCTTAGTGCAAGTCTATACATGGTGGAAAAAAGCTAAATAACAGTAAATGACGTCCAACAAAAACTGAGAGATAAGTAATCATACATGTAAGAAGGTTTATGAGAGGATACGATAAGCAAATAGTTGTAAGGACAAAGTCATAACAAATATTGCTGAAATTCATTCAGTGACAAGACAAAACACATTTTTCAGATAAGAAACAGGGCATTATATTCACAATTAATAAATATAAATTTTGATTGTCAAAATTAACTTGCAATTTGTTGTCTTTGAACTTCTTTTTTGACTTTTTTAGTCATCTTGAAACATAAATAAAAGATATATGTTTCCAAATAACAACCATAACCTTTAGTTCTCAAGCTCATTAATCCCAGTGAACACTATCCTCTGTATCGAAGGAAGACATGAAGACTCCTCCTTCCTTAAATGTTCCCCATTCTTAATCTTTTTTCTCCTTATTTACACTCATTTTAATGATTTTAGATTGAAAGAACTACAAGTTAAATTATGCGATGTCACTCCTACACAAAACATTAACTTGAGTGAAGCCATTAAATTGTCACATCATGTAATTCTATAATATCAAGGAGTGCTTCCAATAACCAGCTTCCATCCTTGTCCATAAAGAAGGAAGTACCAACAACAGAATATGTGTATGATAAAATGGGCATGATAAAACAACAATAATATCATAATACAATAAAAGTAGAGGCTCTCAAGAGCCTGTGTCGCTCACCTGTATCTACTGTGGTTTTGGAAATCATGTAAAATAAGGTTAAAATCATAATAAATAGTATTAGATACCCCAATAATGATTGAGACCAAGTTTGGTTTAATTTGGCCCAGTAGTTAAATTAAAAGCAGGTCATCCCATTGTAGTCTGACAATAGTTACTGAAGACCCCTTATCATTATTTAAATTAGTTTTCAAGTTGTGACCATTTGAAATTATTTTTTTACAATTTTCCCATAGACTTCAATAGTAAACCCCTATGTTCTATTTTTAGCCATGGTGGCCATCTTGGTTGATGGGTGGGGTCATTAGATCATTAAGGATGATTTAGGCCAAGATTGGTTTAATTTGGCCAAGTAGTTTCCGAGGAGAAGATTTTTGTAAAAGATTACAAAAATTGTAAAAAAATTGTAAAAAATTGACTTTCAAGGGCAATAACTCCTTATGGGGTCAATTGACAATTTTAGTCAGGTTTGACTTATTTGTAGTTCTTACTTTGCTGAACAATTTTGCTGTTTACAGTTAATCTCTATCTATTATAATATTCAAGATAATAATCAAAAACTGCAAAATTTCATTAAAATTACTAATTAGGAGCAGCAAAATAGATCTTGACCTGATGAACATTTTTACCCTTGTAAGATTTGCTCTAAATGCTTTAGCTTCAGAGATATAAGCCAAAAACTGCATTTGACCCCCATGTTCTACTTTTATCCATGGCGGTCATCGGATACATTTTTAAACTAGATACCCGCAGGATGGTTTAAGCCAAGTTTGGTTTTATTTGGCCCAGTAGTTTCAGAGAAGATTTTTGTAAAAGTTAACGGATGACGAAGACGGACAATGGACGCCAAGTGATAAGAAAAGCTAACTTGGCCCTTTTGGGCCAGGTGAGCTAAAAACAAAGGATAGGGGTATCCATCAATGACACATAATCAGTACATGCACAGCAAAAAAAAACACAAAACTTTAGAATATAAAACACAAAACTTTTTAATTCCTGAGAATTACAGGTAATCATTTTCAATTGCCTAGAGGATCATTATGACATTTGACACTGTCTGGAGAAGTAACCTTGATCAGTTGATCATAAATCATTTGTTTACAGAGTGGAGTCTATCAGTATCAATCAGCAATAAGGAAACCCATAATAAATAACAGGGCTGTAATTTCAAGGAAGTATTAAAAAACATTGTAAGTGTAATCAGAACCACAAACTTTTCTCCTTTTAATTTAAAACAAATAAAGTGAGATAAGATTACATTACTATAAGGTGTGTAGTGATTTTACGATAATTTTATGAACAAGAGTTACTTGACAGTCTTGACCTCTTTCAAAAAGAAACACGAATTAAACAAGCATTCTGAGAGTATTGCATGTAAAGATTAATTTTTCTTGCACATTACAGTTAGGTCTTTGGTTAGCTTAGGTTATACTTGACATTTGGTTCATAAGTATGTGTATCATCATACAGACAGACAATAGCCATGGTCAAATGATGGTGCTTCATTAGGCAGTAATAACAGTGCACACATTTATCACATTGGATTTTTTACCTTCTGCATATATATATATATATATTGATAATTAATTTGGTGTTAATGAAATCTATTTGAAGGGTTTGTAATTCCTAATTAATAATACGTTTCATATTGTTATTTAGAAGTGTAAAAGCTTAAATTTTATTTTGACTCTATTTAAGTGATTCCTAAATATGAGTAAACAGAAAATAATAATGAGTTTACTAATTTAGTTGTCCAGTAAATAAATGTACTTACGATTATGAGTTATGAAATAAGCAAATGAGTACTCTGAGTATTATTCTCTTCTTTGGCACAAACTTCACCCTCCTTTGCTACTTCTTCATCTTCTTTTCTCTCATTCTGAAATACCTGTGGTAGACTTGATTCAGCATCAAATATTTCATTGACAATTGAAATAATTTCTTTATGAAAATCTGATGTTTCAGAATTGTCTAATGTCATTTTGTCAAACTGTTCTGTATGTAAATGTTCATTGTCTCCTTGACCTGTCATGGGAATATTGATTTGCTTTTCTAATTGTAAACTGTCACCTGCTGAACTGGCTTCCAATGAAATATCACAAGTCTTAGAATTATCTCTTTCTACAATGCTTATGGTAAGAACTTCTTCGTTTAGAGGTGGAATTTCATCCTGTTTACAATAATTGCCATCTGTATGGAAGTTTGCTGTTGTTGAAATACTGTTTTCTTGTCTAGATAAAGACACATTAGGAAATGCAACCCAATTATCAGGTGATGTTGAGAAAAGTATTTCAGAGTGTTTTGAACATGCTTCTGTTAATTCATTTTTCCTACGAGAAACACATGGTGAACAAGATGGGCTAAGAGTTGGAGGTATCAATACACGTTTTGGAGATTGTCCAGGTATACTTGCCGTTTCAACAACTAAAGATTTTGTTCTTGTGAAAAGTTGATCCTCATTCATAAAGGTAAAAATTTCACCATGAAGCTTCAGGGGGCTTTTATGTCTTTTTCGAAATTCCTCAGGTGGCAATTTTATTGACAGTTTTTCACTATTTAAAGATGGAGATATTTCTGGTTTGTATTCTTCAAAATTGACCACATTTATATGAGTTGTACTCCGAGGTCTTTCCACCGGTTTGTTTGTTACCTGGAGTCTTTGAATCCTCTTTTCAATTGCTTTTCGTTTTGACTTTTCAGTAACAGTTTCAAGTTCTTGTAATAGTGATGGAAGAGAAAATCTAGACAAATTTGGTGAAGAAAATGGCGTAGATTCACAAGAACTATTATTATCTCCAATGTGTTTTAAAAATGCCCTCTGTGGTAAAGGTGAATCAAAAATGTCGCTAGGAAATTGAGAACCTGAGAACTTATTAGAAACAGTGACATAACCACTTTGTATGTACCCACTCTCAGAATCAGAACTATCTGAAGAATTTGAACTACTACTTGTCTTTTTCTCTTTTAAATTGTGGTATCCAAAACTATTCCTTTTATTTAATTTTGAATGTTGAGGACTAGAAAATGTCTTTATATCTACTTTAGACCAAACATCCTCTTGTTTGGTAGAATCTGTGTTTACGTCCTGCATAAAGGGGTCATTACTATCCTCTGTGAATGTTGAGTATTCAAAGGGTATACTGGCTTCTGAATTGGTGCTTTCAACTTCGCTTTTCAACTCAAATGAATCATCTTTTAAAGTTTTGAATGAGCTCCTTTCCTCTCCAAAATCAAATGTATCAAATGTTGCCAAAGGAGCTCTTAAATCACCAGATATTGTAGTTGGTGCTTCTGATATACTCATTCTAAAAGCAATATTTTTCAATATCTTAATATTTCATGTCCTTCACATCTTTAAATCCAGTTTTGTAAAAATCTATATAAAAAAACTTCACCGAATCATTAAATCCATACTCACTTCATGCATCAGTAAATTATCCAAATTACCAAGTTCAATGCCACTAAAAGATAGAGTAATTGTTGACAAATCAATATCAGATATTTATAGTTGTGTTAACTATGTATACTGATAAACTAACTCATTTCTTCCAGCCATGCAGACCTTCTATGCCGTGTTGGAGTTACAGATTGGTTAACACATGGCATTGGCTGTTCTAATCAATATCACTTAGTCTTTACAAGTTCTATAGCACTTCCATACTCCTGTTCATGTCTGTAAATAAAAATCAAAGTTCCTTTCTTAAAATTTATTATCTAACTTCAGTCTCTTTATGCTCAACTCCTTATAACAGAGAATGGAAAATCAATGTGTTTGTGGAGACATAATACAACATAATGAATAAAATTACGAAAATTTAACCAGAAATATTGTGTAAGTAAATCAGATTTCTGCTTCTTACGCTTATAAAATTACATCTAATGGGTTAACATTAATACAATGACAACCAATTTGTGATATCTTAATTTCTAGTATCACTAATACTGACATTTCTCACGATGCTCAGAAAACTGGTAATTGATGAAACAATAGAAATGTAAATATATAAGGATTCCCTATGGACATCTTTCGTGACATATTGATACAAATGTTTTCCTTAGAAATACATTTCTTCATCTAAAATTGTAAACAGCATCTGTTTTATTGTGACAGTGAAATAAGGCAGGTAATGATATAACTTTACATGAAGACAATCAATGATTATGTAAGAACCATTGGGAAAGGGATGATTAGATAAATTGGATTCAGTCAGGATGGTCTGGAAATCAGAATGAACATAAATGTAGCTGATCATCAAGGGATGAGTTGGGTGTAATACAGAAACAGTAAATGGAGAAAGTGTCCATGGGACACAGTTGATGGCCCCGCTTGCATATAACGTTATAAAGGGACATAACCAGAGAATTTTAAATGTGAAGCCACCCAAATTCGAACCCAATCTGTGTTTTATGGTAAAAAGCATTGTGTATAAGTTTCATAACATTTGGTTGAGGCAAACTAAAGTTAGAGAATGGAAACGAAAAATTCAGCAATGTTTCCATGTATAAGGGGGCAAAACTCGAGATTGGTAAAAGTGACGACACCCAAATTTGAACTTGATCTGAGGCGGGGGCATAAAAAAGTCCAAATATCAGACTACACCATTAACCACTAAAACAGTTCTTGTTTTTTAAAGTTTTTTCTTCATTTCCTTAGGTTTTCAGTTTGTGAGATGGGTTTGTACACAAAATGTAGGTGACTGACAGTATAATTAGAGGCTCACACGAGCCAGAATCGCTCACTTGGTACATCAGCAGACACTTGAGAAACAAGGTCATGTCAGAAACAATAATACTACTACAAACACACTCCTTTATTGTTGGGTTTTTAAACATTTTAATTCATCTGTCCATTACAAATCATTAATAAAATGCTCAGCGGGGCGCAGCTTGATACGACCGCAGAGGTCGAACCCTGAACAGTTGGGCAAGTATGGACACAACATTCAAGCTTGATACAGCTTTGCATTTGGATTGTGATTAAATATTTGACACAGCATAGGTTTCTGACACAGAATGAATGTGGTCTAAGAACTTAAAAATTTTAAATTGGACATTCACCTATTATGGTCCAATATCCAAAATCTAAATACATGGTTAGATTCAGCATATCAAAGAACCCCAAGAATTCAATTTTTGATGAAATCAAACAAAGTTTAATTTTGGACCCTTTTGACCTCAATGTGGACAAAGTTGATAACGGGGCCCAAAAATCAAAAATCTAAATACATGGTTAGATTCAGCATATCAAAGAACCCCATATATTCAATTTATGTTGAAATCAAACAAAGTTTAATTTTGGACCCCGATTTGGACCAACTTGAAAACTGGGCCCATAATCAAAAATCTAAATACACGGTTAGATTCGGCATATCAAAGAACCCCAATAATTCAATTTTTGATGAAATCAAACAAAGTTTAATTTTGGACCCTTTGGACCTCAATGTGGACCAATTTAAAAACGGGGCCCAAAATCCAAAAACTAAATACACGGTTAGATTCAGCATATTAAAGAACCCCAAGAATTCAAGAATAAAACCCCATTGAAATTGGTCAAGAAATAAGCAATTTATATGAAGTATCTTCTTTTGCACAATACTGTGCAATTAAATATTTCTTGCTATTGCGCAATACTGTCCAATTGACAATTTCTTGCTATTGCGCAATATTGTGCTATTGGATTTTTCTTGCTATTGCGCAATACTGTGCAGTTGAAGATTTCTTGCTATTGCGCAATACTGTGCAATTGAAGATTTCTTGCTATTGTGCAATACTGTGCAATTGAAAATTTCTTGCTATTGCACAATACTTATTATATAATAATTTACACATCCTGTTTGGTGTGTATCTCCTACCATATCATTATTATTTGCTTTTAAATATAAATCAGAAATAACAAACTTAAAATGGAAAATTTTAAAAGAAAAAAAAAAGGAAAAAAAAAAAAATCGCCCCCCCCTCCCCAAATTTTTTGAACCCCCTTATGATTCATCACCCCCAAACTCAATCCCAGCCTTCCCTTTGTGGTATGGTACCTTGCAGTACAATTTCAGAGAGATCCATACACTTGAACACAAGTTATTGTCTGGAAACTATAAAAATGTGTTTTTTGGCCCCTTTTTGGCCCCAAAATCCTAAACAATTAGGGCAATTACCCCCATAATCAAACCCAGCTTTCCCTTTGTGATATAGAACCTTGTAGTACAATTTCGGAAAGATCCATACACTTACACACAAGTTATTGTCCTGAAACTAGAAAAATGCTTGTTTTTTGCCCCTTTTTTGGCCCCTAATTTCCTAAAATTTTTGGGCAATTACCCCCAAAATCAATCCCAGCATTCCTTTTGTGATATGGAACCTTGTGGTACAATGTCAGAGAGATCCATACACTAACACACAAGTTATGTCTGGAAGTTACAAAAAATGCTTATTTTTGGCCCCTTTTTGGCCCCTAATTCCTTTACTGTTAGTACCATAACCCCCAAAATCAATCCCAACCTTCCTTTTGTGGTATTGAACCTTGTGGTAAAATTTCATAGAGATCCATTCACTTAAACTAAAGTTAGAGTGCGAAAACCAATGTGTCTTCGGAAGACGACGACGACGCCAACGTCATACCAATATACGACCACAAAAATTTTTTTGCGGTCGTATAAAAATGCGTTTCAGAGGGATCAGGCAACAACTATTCAAGTTGTGATCAGACAATTTCTGTCCCTTTTAAGACTTTCATAGATCTTGATGTAGAATGTACTTAACATTTTTCCAATTTACACTTTTTCTCTATCTCTTATAGTTTTTGAGATAGAGGCTAAACAGTTGACATGGTAAAGAAACACATTTCAGGGGCAACAATTCTCTATCAAATTTTCATATAATTTCAACATTATGGCAATTTTTATAATAAAGATGTGATCATTTTTGCAATTTATACTTTTGTGCTAGCATAAATATTGCAGTTTGACCCAAATGTTCTATTTTTAGCAACAGCAGCCATTTTTCTTGCTGAATGTTTCAAAGAAGAAGATTTTTTATTGAGTTAATGCCAACACATTACAACTCCAAATTGCCTTGTCCTATATCTCTGAAATTTTCAAGGAAGATAGATCTTTTTTTGGTGATCATTATTGCAAGTTCTATTTTTTCCATCTATAATAAATAATAATAATGATAATAATAGCTTTTAAGATAGAAGAAATAATAGAAAACTGTGAAATTTACTAATAAAATGCCATCTCAGGGTCATAACTCCAAAATGATTCTTTTAATTTTTTTGTGAAATTTTTAGAATCAGGGTAGTTCTGCTAATGCTTTCTGCAACATGCAAAATAATGACATTTCAGGGGCATTTAACTCACAAATATGGTTATCAAATTTTTCTGATATTTTCAGCGTATATGGATCTTGTACATGTTAGGCTTATCATTTCTGCACTTAAGTTACCTATATGCAATTACAACTAGGATCGTAAGAATATTTTTTACTCAAAAGCACTAGCTTCATACTAACAACCTTTCAATTGCAACAAGCTTAATTTTTTCACAAGTTAAAGACTGAATAAAAAACTGCATCTTGGAAAAACATTTTGACTCATTGTTATTAGGCCATGCAAACATGATTGTTTGTTTCCCCTAACCTTTTTTTTTTGACGATCAATGAATTTGAATGGGGACATATAGTTGGAACCCCCCTTTATCCTGGGTTGGAAACCCCCCCTTTTAAAAATGGCTGGATCGGCCCCTGAACATTCATTTTCCATGGCCTAAACCTTTCGAATGGGCACAATTATTCAAATAGGATTTATATACTTAGGTAGATAGACAGAAAGACTAAGTACTGTCTATTGTCACCTTCATTTTGTATATGTTGCCTTTCATATTTGTTTTTCGTACATTGTTTTGTCATAAATTTGGCCGATAGTTTTCTTGATTGAATTGTTTCATATTTTTTATGTCGGGGCCTTTTATAGTATGGGGTTTTCTCATTGTTGAAGGCTGTACAGTTGCTATCCCTAGTTAATTGATTAAATACAAAAAATGTGATTTTACAGTTGTGCAATTATAGTGTCATCTAGTTTAATGGTTTTTATTAGTGATTGAAAACATGTCAACAGTACATGTGGCAGTAATAAATTGTATCAGTATGTCATGTCCATTCAAGTGAGTCATGCATATGAAACATAATTACAAAAACCAATAAAATGCTCCGCTGGGCCCAGCTTGATACGACCGCAGAGGTCAAACCCTGAACAGTTGGGGCAAGTATGGACACAACATTCAAGCTTGATACAGCTCTGAATTTGGATTGTGATTAAATATTTGACACAGCATAGGTTTCTGACACAGAATGAATGTGGTCTAAGAACTTAAAAATTTTTAATTTACCTATTGAAACCAAATCATTATTATTTGCTTTTATATATAAATCAGAAATAACCAATTTAAAATAGAAAATTTTAAAGAAAAAAAAAGGAAAAAAATTCGTAAGGGTTCCGTGGAACCCAGTGTCTTGCCTACTTTTTCTGTTAATCGCAGGCTCAACAAAAATGAGGAAGTAAATCAATAAAAATATTCCTCTTGATACTATCTTTTGATTGAAAGAGCTTCTGTCAAAGTTTGGTAAAAATCCAGGATAGTTTATGAATCTAATAAATGTTTAAAAACTTTAACTGCAGACTGAATGTAATGTTAACTGGAAGAAAACAAAATTTCCTTCTAGATACTAGCATTTGATCATAAACAAGCTTCTGTCCAAGTTTGGTACAAATCCAAAATAGTATAAGAAAGTTATCAAAATTTTAAAAACTTTAACCACAGAGTGAATGTGTTGTTTCCTGGCAGAAAATCTAAGTCCATTTAAAAGTAAAATATGGAAAAAATGGACTTGTTTTTTTAAAAAATTTCCTTCCAGATACTAGCTTTTGATCAAAAACAAGCTTCTGTCCAAGTTTGGTACAAATCCAAAATAGTATAAGAAAGTTATTAAAATTTTAAAAACTTTAACCACAGAGTGAATGTAATGTTTCCTGGCAGAAAATCTAAGTCCGTTTAAAAGTAAAATAAGGAAAAAATGGATTTTTTTTTTTTACAAAATTTACTTCTGGATACTATCTTATGATCATAAACAAGCTTCTGTCCAAGTTTGGTAGAAATCCAGGATAGTTTAAGAAAGTTATTAAAATTTTAAAAACTTTACCCACAGAGTGAATGTGTTCTTTCCTGGCAGAAAATCTAAGTCCATTTAAAAGTAAAATATGGAAAAAAAGGATTTTTTTTTTTACAAAATTTACTTCTGGATACTATCTTATGATCATAAACAAGCTTCTGTCCAAGTTTGGTAGAAACCCAGGATAGTTTAAGAAAGTTATTAAAATTTTAAAAACTTTAACCGCAGAGTGAATGTAATATTTCCCGGCAGAAAAACTAAGTCCATTTATAAGTAAAATACGGAAAAAATGGAATTTTATTTTTACAAAATTTACTTCTGGATACTATCTTATGATCATAAACAAGCTTCTGTCCATGTTTGGTAGAAATCCAGGATAGTTTAAGAAAGTTATTAAAATTTCAAAAACTTTAACCACAGAGTGAATATTTGTAGACGCCGCCGACAAAAACGACGGAATGTAGGATCGCTATGTCTCGCTTTTTCGACTAAAGTCGAAGGCTCGACAAAAAGGAAAAAAAAAATCCCCCCACCCCAAATTTTTTGAACCCCCTTATGATTCATCAGACCCAAACCCAATCCCAGCCTTCCCTTTGTGGTATGGTATCTTGCAGTACAATTTCAGAGAGATCCATACACTTGAACACAAGTTATTGTCAGGAAACTAGAAAAATGCTTGTTTTTTGCCCCTTTTTGGCCCCAAATTCCTAAACATTTAGGGCAATTACCCCCAAACTCACACCCAGCTTTCCCTTCGTGATATGGAACCTTGAAGTACAATTTGAGAAAGATCCATACACTTACACACAAGTTATTGTCCTGAAACTAGAAAAATGCTTGTTTTTTGCCCCTTTTTGGCCCCTAATTCCTTAAATTTTGAGGCAATTACCCCCAAAATCAATCCCAGCCTTCCCTTTGTGGTATGGTACCTTGCAGTACAATTTCAGAGAGATCCATACACTTGAACACAAGTTATTGTCTGGAAACTAGAAAAATGCTTATTTTTGGCCCCTTATTCCTACACGTTTTGGGCAATTACCCCCAAACTCAAACCCAGCTTTCTCTTTGTGATATGGAACCTTGTAGTACAATTTGAGAAAGATCCATACACTTACACACAAGTTATTGTCCTGAAACTAGAAAAATGCTTGTTTTTTGCCCCTTTTTTGGCCCCTAATTCCTAAAATTTTGAGGCAATTACCCCAAAAATCAATCCAAGCATTCCCTTTGTGATATGGAACCTTGTGGTACAATGTCAGAGAGATCCATACACTAACACACAAGTTATGTCTGGAAGTTACAAAAATGCTTATTGTTGGCCCCTTTTTGGTCCCTAATTCCTTAACTGTTGGAACCATAACCCCCAAAATCAATCTCCACCTTCCTTTTGTGGTATTGAACCTTATGGTAAAATTTCATACAGATCCATTCATTTAAACATCTATCTATATTTGAATTTTTACATTTGTAAATTTGTAAACTGCATGAAAATTGATCCAATTATATATTTTTTTGTCCAATATACTTAATCATTTGTTAATAAGGTTGTGTTCATAATCTTATTTAAACTAGTCTATTAGTATGATAGACTATTAGTCCAAGTATGTTATAGGCCTAGTTTGAGAGGCCAATTTTGTTAGGCTGAGTCATCAGGGAGTCATTGAAACTTATTATCTCCTTCAGTTTTTGATTAATTATCAGTACTGAAAATGAATAAAACCAGCAAAGATTCAAGTACACAGTGCAATACTTATTTAGATTCTTTACCAAACCTGCAGACTACAGCAACTGAATGTAAAGTGGCTTCAAAAATAACATCAACCCAGACAAAAAAGAGTAAACTTTGAAGTTACAACACCTTCTGTTGCAGTATTGGACAATAATTCCTTTTTTATATCATATGTAAGAGTGGATAAGAGAAAAAATTGTAAATATCAGTAGTTTAACAGTAAACTGAGTCTGTCTTGGATTATTTATTTATATTTGATTGTTATATGATCAGCAATATTAATATCAACAATGTCATAAATTGTATTTAATTGTGGTTAATTGTAACCTCATACTAAACAAGATAAAAATTTTACAGCATACAACATTTTTTTAATGCACAAGATTAGACAACATCTATGGTAAACAAGGATTTATTTAATTGATTTTGATTGGTGTTTAACACCACTTTCAGCACTATTGTGCTATTTCGTGGCGGTCAGTTTTATTGGTGGAGGAAGCTGGAGTGCCCAGAGAAAACCACTATCTTCAATGGGAAAAAGGCTTAAGTTATTAAAATGTACCTGTAAAATGAGCATCAAAGTACTTAGAACACAGCGATAATTATCGTTCCAGTAATTAACAAAGAGTAGGATCTCTTTGACCTTGAGCACCTGTTTAAAGATTCGTCAATTTTATACTTTCATGATAAGAAATACCAAAAAAAATATTTCGTATTATTGAAATCTGAATACTGTAAAAATCCCACGAACTTGTTAGTTTCCTTCGTTATACATATAAAATAACACACAGTGTTCAGCAAGATGTAAGAATTTGGATCACGTTTTTGTTGTTGCTTAACGTAAATTGGAACATTACCTTGTCAAACTTAGTAATTCTAAATTGGTATCTCCTCCTTTCTTCTATATACTTTAGACGGAGGCCGTAGAAGTCAGTCAAGTACAGTGGTTAAGGAACTCATTAAAAGCACTGAAAGTATTGTAGTAGAACGCTTACAATGCAGTCTGGTTAATCAGCCCACATAGGCTTTGATCGCATGTTTTTCTGCTTAAAATTATATACAAATTGTATCAAATTTACTATAAATTGATTCACTGACAAATCAATTTTGAGTAGTTTATCTCATTTCCCAAAAAATATCTGAAATAAATTTTAAAATCAACAAAACAAGTTGTTCATCTGTGCTTTTATCGAAAATGTGTTTGTCCCATAAATCCACCCAAACACAGTAAATATGTATGGAGGGCCAGTTTATTACATATTTATGAAAGGAAAAGATGATCTATTTATAGACCACTTATAAAGGGATTCCAGATAATCCAAAAAAAAAAAAACACATTTCAAGCCAGAAATGAGTTTTGTATGCAATAATATGATTATCGTTAACTTTAGGAAATGTATTATATATATCACTAGATATTTTCGTAATAAAGGATTTTTCTTTAAAATTTGACATGCAGTGATGATAAGTACAGTTCCTATGAATAAAATAGCAGACGAAATATTCAAGGAAGCAAATAGGATTGGGCTGGTTTACCGTACGGGCAGAATTACCGGACACTACTGTACTAGAGCAGTGATCTGGAAGGATTTTTTTCTATGGGCCCAGGGCCCACAAAAAATAAAATCAATGGGCCATGTTGTCAAATGAGTGGGCCATTCGTTTATAACAAAAATAAAAAAATTGTATATTTCAGCAAAAAGGTACTAACCTGTATGATTTTAATTGATATCATGGATATTGTTCCTGTGCTTTTGTAGGTCCAGTGAATAAAGTTAATTAAGTTCATGGAGATTTATGTGACCAAAGACATACAAAAGAATATATGTCTCTGATGTGATTAAGAATGACATTGTATGAGTTCATGAAATGTAACATCACTCAGAAATTAAACTTTTAATGACTTATAATAAAAAAACTATCAAACTGAGCAATATATGACTAGACCAACACCACTTCAATGGACAGAATCATTAATGAGGAAATGCTGAGATCAAGAATAGACATCTGATCTGGACTGATTTTTTAAAATCTGCACTAATAATCATTGAAAAATCTATGATATTTGATTAAATTTCATTCTTTTGAGAAAACATGAAACTTGAACATACGTGTATATTAATTATCAAACCATACAGTACAATCATAGTAGTAACATAATAAAAGATAAAAGTAATAACTGTTACTCTGTATTAATATTAGGCAAAAAAATAAACTGAGTTACTAGAACTACGACAATGGCAGACTAAAAGTAGCTGAGTAGACCTAGATTTTGTTGCACAAAATTGGAGAAAGAAGAAATGAATCTTGATAAGAAAACTAGACCGATTAAATTCCAAGTTATTTGAAATGATTTTTGGCCAGATTTGCAGTACATTTTGCTGCCATCATACAGTAACCAGGGCCATAACTTCTCCCAAACCGGGCTATACTTATGAGAACCTTTATTAACAATGTTGATACTGGTAACATCGCCTTGTTCATGTTTATGTTCCTTTGACATTAAATTTGGGTCTTTGTCGACTGCCATACTTTATTCCTGATGTTCCATATTAGAGGACGTTTCAGGCATTTCCTCTGCATTTTTTTATATTATTATCATTTTATCAAGAATAATAAAAGAGAGTAAAGTTTTTTGATAAGACACAACAACAATTCGCTGTAGGCATGTTTACAAAATGTACAAACGAACTTTAGCCAAAGACCAAAAAAATGACAAGGACAATGCCTTTTATGGAGACAAATACTATATTGAAATAAACAGCTGTGCCACGAGCGCATGATACGCCCATCGTCTTGTGTGTGAGGTTTTATGCAATCATCATAAATCGTTTCAGAGATATGGTGCGACATGTGAAAACCCCCCTTTTTTTATTAAAAAATCAATAACTCTAAAATAAAATTTTGAATCATCACCAAAAAGTATACTGATATTTAGATTAATATAATTAAGAAGTGTGTAAAGTTTTAAGCAATAATCATAAATCGTTTTTGAGATACGGCGTGACATGTGAAACCCTTCCCTTTTTTCACAAAAAAACTCAATAACTCTAAAATAAAATTTTGAATCATCACCAAAAAGTATACAGATCTTTAGATTAATATAACTAAGAAGTGTGTAAAGTTTTAAGCAATAATCATAAATCGTTTTTGAGATAAGGCGCGACATGTGAAAAAAACACCCCCTGTTTTAGTTACAAAGTCCCGTAACTCATAAAGTTTTAATCTTATTTTCACCAAAAAGTATACAGATCATTTGACTATCATAAGAAACAACTATGTTAAGTTTCATGACATTTGGATAAGTCATTCTCAAGTTACGGTGCGACATGTGGACGCGGGACAGACGGACGGACAGACAGACAGACGCTGGACATTTGTTTACCATAATACGTCCCATCAAAATTTTGACAGGTGTATAAAAAGGCCTTTAAGTTTTTCAATCGATATTATAGCAAGTTTACTTTAAAGATTATAATTTGAGAAAAATTCTCAACTGTACTAGCCAACTTTCAAATAATTAAAGTTGTTTACTTTGAAAATTTAGATCATGGATGATGGTTAATTACGGTTTTTTTGGTAATCAGATATACCGCACATTGCTATCCTTAACATGAAGGAAGACATCCCAAAAATATATAGTGGTGCTGAGTGTTATTGGAGGGAACACATCATGTTATTGGAGGGAACACAGCACAGTTTTGTACACAAATATGGCCACACGAAACACAATCTGAAATCCATTTTACGATAATCTAAAAGTTTAGATATGAAATGAAAAATGTCGTGTGCCACACTGGCACTTACATTTGCCACTCTATGCACCATTTCTGTTCCATATGCGCAAATGGCGCATGACCTTCCCGATCACTGCTAGAGGCCGTGATGAAACGATATTTTACAGTGTTTTTGTGTAGTTAAGGTAACAAATACATAGTTGGGACCTTCAAATGTTCAGAAGAAGCCTTTAGCTGAGCTGTTGTTTGACATAATTATTTACTACATGACTTTCTGTGGAGCATACCACCTTGAATGTAGTTTACTGTATATTTTCATCCTTAAGGACTTCCACGTAGTATTTACGTCATACCACCACCACATTGATGGCTGCTTTGTCAGCCATTATAAACGTTGTTTAACAATCACCACCAGCTATTAATTATCATATCCATATGTTCTATCTTTCAATGCAACAGTGGGTTAATTAATTCATGGGGTGTTACTGTAAATTCAGAAATTATTGCGATGTTTTTATTATTGCGAAAAATGCGACAGGGTTATAATCGCAATAATTTAAACTCGCATTTTGAAATTTTTTTATATGAATTTAACAGGATTTTTCTCAATATCACAAAAATTAAAATCGCATTTTAGTCTAAAATGACAAAATCGCAATAATAAATGCACGCAATAATTTCTGAATTTACAGTATACATAAATTACCTCTACCCAAAATGTGTTGCAAAAAATTTGGCTATTGATTATTTTTACTATTAATAACAATCTCGCTCAAATCCCGTTTCAATCACAGTTGGAAGTGCAGGGACAACGCGATCGCCTTACTATATAGCGAGATGCACACTTCCTCTAGTAATGGACCTCTGGTTTTACATATGATATATATAGCTGCTTTTAAATGCCAGTGCTTAATTAAACTTTAATACTTATTTTTATCCTTTTTAATTTTATTAGTATTTTATGGATATGTCAGTGATTGTTGGTCCCTTCAGTCGGTGTACATAGCGATGATTTGCCTTTAGAGGCTCAGAAATTAAGTATGATATGTTTTCATTATGTTTGCATGCCCTTTTATATATTTTTGAATAGCATGAAGCAGCATGGTTTTGTGTCATAATGATTAGCATTTTAACGAGCTCATTCTGTGATTGTTATTGTGTATATATATGCCGACCTTAGATAAAATTTACATACTATCTTAATATGGTCATCATATTTTCATGAAAGTGAGTTTCAGGGTCAGTAAAATATTATGCTGTGTCAACCTTGATTTATTTATTAATAGTCAATTCACAAATCTTAAAATGCATAAAAATGTAAACATAATTCGTTTTCTTATGCGTGTATTGTGGTTCTAATCCACAATTTACCAGTAAATCTCACATTAATCAGCTGTCAACTTTGACGTTCATATTTCCAGCGCCATATGCAATGTTTACGGAAGTCCACAGTTCAACAACTACGCATGTCTGGCTTCCTTACCAACGTGCACCTGTTGAATAGAAATGCTGTCACATTTGTAGGGAAAACATCAAAGTAATGGGAAAAGAATGTGTATGTATGACAAATTTTGTATTGCAAATATCATACAATATTATTCAATGTATAAAACGGGGGAAAAAATGAAGTTTGGGTTGCTAAATACTTGTTTTATAAATAGATGTAAATAGTAATTTTTAAATGAAAACTATTTTATAACAAGACCTTAATTCATTGAATTTATAAGAATTATCTGACCAATTTCATTATTCAAAGTAGATTTTGTAGCAATTATTGATGTTAGTTTTACCGTACATCTTTTTTGAAAGACCAAAAATTTTCATTGTAGTCTGAGAAATTCAAGATGATCTAAGAACTGAAAATAAATTTAGATCTTTTAACAATCTTTTAAAATATGTAATTAAATAATAAACTAATTAATAAACTGTATGATATGAGATATTGGGAAATACAACATATACAGTATTTATCTAGCAAAAATTAAATGTTTATTGCAGTATTTTTTGTTTATTTCTTTGTTGTTTATTTTGCCAATGTGATGTGTGTATTTTTAAGAGGGAGGATCGAGTGTACTAATTTTTCCAGTTGCTTTTATGAGAATTGTAAAGCAGTTGATTAAAAAAAGTTTAGAAAATGTGTCATTGCCTTATTATTGTTGAAGTTAAGACCATTACCATGTATGCTTCCATGCAAGTTATGAAAAAATATATTTTACAATCAATTTTATGATGTTTACTAATAATAAATTTCATCAGATGAGGTGGGGTTGTGAGATTATTCTGAATTGATCTTCTCAGATAACTATCTTAAGTAAATTGGTAAATATTGTCTTTCTTGTAAAAAAAAATTAGCTTTCAATAAATTAAGTCAAACAATTTATATTTCATTTCTAACATCAATTGTTGTTTATTTACAAATATTAAAATTTAGATATTAATTCTATTAATCCAACTTTTGCTTTTGATAGGGACACAACCCAAGGTGAATATTTTGTTTGAGACAGATAAATTTATATAGGATCTTTAAGTAATCCTATTCAATCACTGGAGTGTCATTACCATTATAAAATTTCTTTATTTTTTTTTAAACCTAATCGGGGTCATTTTAAAAGTATTTATTGAATAAACCTGGTTACAGAAAATTCTGTTTTGTTTACTTGTATAGAAATGTGTATCTTTATATCAGATATGAATGTTGATGTGAAATTTTATCATTCTGTATGGAAAGATTTGAATGTTTAAGATTAAGTTAAATGGAAGATCCTTTTCTGATAACATTTACCTTTAAACAGAATTACTTAACCACTTTTTCTGTTGATTGAAGTCTGTAAATAATTCTTTGTTAAATTTTAAATACTTCTAACATGTTCATAAGTATTGTTAAGAACTTGATTAAATAGCAAGGTGTTTTATCAATACACTACTGAAGAACTTTAAAAAGGTGTACATACTTTGAAACAAATCAAGAATATATTAGTTTCATTTAAATTTGAAAGTGCAATGGCATTGAACTTCTATTGTAAATTTTTTTATCTTCAATTTGGGACATAATATATTCAATCTTGTCCAAATTGCAACAGATTCTGAGACCTTATCTGAAATGTTTTAACATCAATTCAAACAAACGCCATGATAATAGAACTTCCTATTGGAATTTGAGTTACATGTTTACATTACAGCATTTCAACATAGCAATATTTGTATATACACCTGTCTGAAATCTATTAAAAATACAGTATACATACTCTTTTCATTAATAATTGTTTCATACTGAAATTGAATACTTATATTAAATTATTTAAGCTTTGGCATTTAAATTCTTTGTTATCAATATAGATATTCTTGAGTGCGTATTATTCATTTTACTGGTGACAAATAAATTTAAAAGATTTTATAGATTGAACAGTGGTATGATGGTAATTTAATATTTTTATTTTACAGGAATTTCAATCTTTTTCAGGATATTTTTGAAGACAGAAAAAAAATACAGATGAAATATTAATTTCTTGTACCTGGTTTTGGTAAGGAAGTTTTTTTTATATTATAAATTTCATATGTATCTTTAATTTTACATCTGTATATATTATGCATACATAAAAGTTACTAACTTTTATGTCACTAAGTATCTGGTGGAGAGAGTTGTCTTATTGGCAATCATACTACATCTTCAATTCTTTATGACTCATACAAAAATGAAGATGTTGGTTAGATTTACATGGTATAAAATTCTAAATATACATAGTGAAACAAAAAACCAACTGAAGTTGACACATAGTCTGTAAAAATGAGAAAATTGAGATTAACAAGCTCTAACCCCCCTCCATATCCAAAGGTTAGTTGAAAAAAACAAACGAAACCCTGCCAACACAAAATATGTTCTAAAAGATCGAGATTTGTGAAAGACTGATTATTACATTATATAACAAAAACACTAGAATGCTCACATTTACAGACTAAGAGCTTATTAAAAAACACATTATGCAGATCAAAATGATCAAATACATTTATATAGGAATATATGAAATACATTATACCAGATGTAAAGGGTTTGCTCTTTAGTTAGGAAAAGGCAAACCAACTAACAGCCTGTTAACTTTTCTACACAAAAATAAAAAAAACAAGGAGTTAACAATTTTACGTTATGGTGGCATCTTTTCAAAAAGGGTTTGTTTACAGTTACAGATAATATTCAAGGTTACTACATGTACGAGTAAAATTTTAAGTGCTTAGTAAATGACATTGCCGTTAAATTAGAAAAAGTTGTGTAATACAATAATTGATTGACCATTTTATTTCATTGGGTTTATGAGAAAGGAATTTCACAAAACTTTAATTCAAATAACATTTTGTTTTTAAAATAAAAGACTAAAAATGAAAATTTAGAAATCAGACAAATTTAAGGGAACTTGTATTTTTCAAACATTAACTGTTCAATTTTCTTTAGATTAAATTATTGAACTACTGATAACTGGCGCTTATGTTAAATGTAGTTCTGATTCTAACTTTAAAAATATTTTTGAATATTCATGTATGTAGTTTATATTGTAATGTGAAAATAAGGGATACTGTTGATTTATATTTATTATTATTATTATTATTTAGAAAAATTAACAAATACTATTAATTGAAATGTGTTATATATATTGCAGTATCTTAAGTATGTCCCATGGCAAGTCAACCTAAAAAGTCAGCAATGAAGAAAGATTCTGGAGAAAAGGGAGATAAATCTCGTCCAGTCTCATCAAAATTAACAAAGAGGGAGTCTTCAGCCAAAATAGCAAATATCAATACAAATGGATTATTTAGCAAATCAAAACAAGATCAAATACTCAAAGACAATTCAGAGTTACAAGCTGAAGTCAAATCTTTAAATTCTAGAAATTTGGAACTAGTGGAAAGATTAAGACTTATTACTACTGATATTGTTGAACATTCCAAAACAAAAGGGTACAAATATAGTGCAAGTAATCAAAACATGGATGTTCTTGATTTACCTATAGGAAAAATTTCTGAACTTATTGAGTTTTTGACACACGGGAAAGATCCTAGAAATAGGGCTTCTATAGAAACAAGGGTAGAGGAACTAGAAACCAGAATTACTCATTTGAATATGGAATTAGCAAAGATGTTGGAACAGAGAATAAATTTAGAACATGGACTAGATGCTATTCAAAACTGTAATAATTTGTTTGATGCTCAAAATAGAGCTAGATTTTTGTTATATGAAACAAGTAAGTTAACTTTTGATAGTTTGTTACAAGTAGAATATCTGCCATTTCACAATTGACCTTGTCTTTAAAGTCAATCTTTTGTCACAATCTACCAGACTCTTACCTGATTTGTTACAGATAACCCCCTTTTCTAAAGGGAAAATACATATTGGCCAAGTTTGTCCCAAAATCTGGGATGTCAAAAAGTACTGATAATATTTGCAGAAGTAAATGTTGAATTTATGTACAAAAATAAAAACATTGCTATTTTATTGAAAGTATATCCTTTCCATGGCATGACACGTCAGCACTTAAGGGCCATATTTGGCCTGAAAAAATATAATATAAAAATAAGGAGATGAGGTATGATTGCCAATGAGACAGCTATCCACCAAAGTTCAAATAAAGTGGATTTAAGCAATTATAGGCAACCGTACGGCCTTCATCAATGAGAAAAATCCATACTGATAGTCGGCTATAAAAGGCCCCAACATGAAAATTATATGAAACAATTCAATTGAGAAAACTATCGGTCTAATTCATAACAAAACAATTAACGAAAAACAAAAATGACAGACATGAACCAACGACAATCACTGAACTACAGGCTCCTGACTTGGGACAGGCACACAAAGAATGTGGCAGGGTTAAACATGTTTGTGAGTGCTAAACCCTCCCCCCTAACCTGGGACAGTGGTGTAACAGTACAACATAAGAACAAACTATAAAAATAAAATTGAGAATGGAAATGGGGAATGTGTCAAAGAGACAACGACCCGACCATAGAGCAGACAACAGCCGAAGGCCACCAATGGGTCTTCAATGCAGCGAGAAACTCCCGCACCCGGAGGCGTCCTTCAGCTGGCCCCTAAACAAATATGTATACTAGTTCAGTGATAGTGGACGTCATACTAAACTCCAAACTATAAAAATAGTACAGTTTCTATTAAAAAATGAAGTGATTTTGGTATAAAGATAATTGATATGCATGTGCAAAGTTTAAATTTTAAAATTGGGCAGTCAAAAAAAGAGGAAAAATCAAAGTTAAACTACATCATACTATCTTTTGACCTCATAATTTCAAAGTTTAGCCTTGAACATATACATATCAATTGTCTTTACGCAAATTTAAAAATTGCATATTTTGCTACATATATGATATATGACATAGTCATGTAAGATTTGTTGGTCATATACAAACATCATGGTAAATTATTTAGTTGGTACTTA